CTCCTCCTCCCACTTGTATTTTTCTCTCTCACACATTTTTCTGGGGGCTCAGTTTCTCCCCTCTCCCCTCATGAGATAACCATAAGTTCAGTCCCACTTGTGAACTGGGAGATACTGCTCCTCCCTCTTCCTCTGTGTCCCCCCCCCCCCTTTCTGGTTCTCCCTCCATCCCCAGTAATCCCAGGGACACTCAGTGGTCAAGCTGCAAACCTTTGTCTTCCTTCTTCTCTGTGGAGCAACAGTGAAACTCTCAGTGCAGCGTGATGAAGCCTTTTGCTGCAGCCGCTCTTCCTGCCACTGCCATCATCCTGCTGCCCTCAACCAATGGGAGCCGTGAAGTGGGGCGGGGGGGCACTCAGTGTGTATGTAGGGGGAAAAAAGAGGTTGAGATGCTGTAACCCAAATTTGAGGGCATTTGGGATGTCATCTTCACCTGCAGATTTTTGGGAGAGGTAAGCTTGCAGATGATGTTGCAGAGAATTTATTTATTGTTACTAAGAAGGAAAGTTTAAAGTAAATATTGGAAACAGACATTTTGCAAAGTAAATCCAAAGATGTTGAGAGGTTTTCTTTATCTTAACAACAAATGCATTTGTTGTTAAGATTTTTCCCCTTTTATTAGTTTTGATTTTTTCATGAGTCAAGCAAAGATGACATTTCTATAAAGCATGGTGGAAATTGTGTGCTGCTTTTATCTGTTTCATACGATTGCAGAACCTTTAGATTTTGGACTCATTACAGGACAAAATTTGTGCACAATAATGAAAAGTACACATTTTTTGCAGCCATAGATTAAACACTTTGACTGCAGAACTCACAGAATGGGATGCTTATGGTGTTGTGTAAATGCTGTTGTATGTGTATGCGTGTGTGTGCGCAAGTCTGCAGTGACAGTGTGGAAAGTGTGGAGAGTGAAACCACATGTTGAATAGCAGGGCGAGCAGGGCCGTGTGATGATTTGGATCTGAAGAAGGGGGGGGGGGTGCACTAATATGTGTGTGTGTGTGTGTGTGTGTGTGTGTGTGTGTGTGTGTGTGTGTGCGCACCCACTTTCTTGGGGGACAGACAGGATGAGGCGTGAGATGGAGGTGTTTATGCGTGCATGTGTTTGTGTGGGTGTTTCAGAGGGCCGCAGAAGGTCAGTTTTTTCCAGCGATGGGACACCGCTGCTTTCCAGCTCCCATCTGAGAGATTTTATTCTGACATCCGGTGTGTGTGTGTGTGTGTGTGTGTGTGTGTGTGTGTGTGTGTGTGTGTGTGTGTGTGTTTGAGACCACCTCCCTCCCCTCCTCGTTCATTGCTTCATCGATGTGTGACTACGTTCAGCAGACGGAGGCTTTCACCAGCTCCTAAATGCATTTTTTTTATTGAATTAGAAACAAGACCTGTGACCTTTTTTATGCAACATTCAAAAGAATATCAACAGCCAAAGTGAGCTAATATTTAAAAAATGTGAATCTGCTCCAGAATTTGATGGCTTTTTCCTTTGACGATGCCACGCCTCTCCACCAAGTTTCACGAAATTCAGCTTTGCAGCTGTTGTGCAAAATTGTTCAGCCCTGGCAGAGAAAGAAGCCCTTTTTTTTTCTATCTTTGTTGTTAGTTTGTAGTACAGCATTTATTCTTCACATTTCTCAATAGTGGTTTAGAGTGCAAGTTGATTTTTAGTATAGTTAGTATTATAGAGTCTTCACTATGTTCATTCATACAACATTTTTACAAATGTGGGCACAGTTTTTCTTTGTTTTTTCTTTGTTAACAATTTAAAACAAGTTACCTTACTCATCTCTTGTTTTCAGCTTCTTTCAAGTTCAATTTGATCTTTAACCATGTTAAAGGATCTGTCTTGCCAGGGATGTGGGTGTGACACCAACCTCCCTAATCCACTCGCAGATGCATTGATCACTCTGCCTGCTGCTGTTTAGGGCCTGTGAAGCAGAGGGATTGTCTAAATTGGTAGTAAATCACGCTAAAAGACCCCCTTTGTGCCTTAGTGTTTAATAAATATGTTCATTGTCAATTTTGCATGAAAATTTAATTTAAAGAAAACCATTTTTTTGTGGAGTGAAAGTAAGACAGCGAAGCTCTCGTCTCCAGTCTGTCCTCTACATGTTTCCAAAACGCACAAGTCATCAAGCTTATCTCAGAAGAGGATTGAGATACATGTAATCTTAGAGCTAATAATCTCTGGACATTCCAGACTGGCTTTGTTTACACTGCGACTCTCCAACAGTTTTACAAACAGCTCACAGAAATGCAGAACCGAGCCAGGACAGCTTGTTTCAGTTTATCTCAGCTCTGCTTCAGTGCTTGTGCCAAAATATCATCAACTTTCTACATAACCATACATCAGTGCCACAATAATCAGGGTTAGTGCAAACAAAAACAACAAAAATCTCTGTTTTCTGTTGTTGAGGGTCAGTGATGATAACGGAGGATCGCCCTGGCCCCTCCCCTCTCACAGGCCTACAGCAGCCTGATTGAACTGTATGATGCAATCCAGCATGGAAGAGTTTGTAGTGCAAAGCTACAAAGTTAAAGGTGCGAAAGTCTTGAGCTTTATATTGTTCTTTATATTTTAATATAAAGGAGCTTGTCAGTCAATATTTGGTATGAGCACCTTTATTTTTCAGCCTGAACTCTCTTAGACAAGCTTTCTTGGAAGAAAGGTTTTAACAGGAAGAAACCACCAAGACCGACATTCTTCCTGAAATGGTTAGGCACAAGGAATGGGCTGATAATGACTGAAAAATAAAAGTTTAAATCATGAATCATTAGTGAGGTGATGCTGTTCCATTTCTTGACAGCAGCTGTGTTTGTTCAGATTAAGGTTCAGTCTGCTGCGACGACTACAACGGTAATGTTTCTTGTTGCACTCATAGGCTGTAATAAGCCATGAGCTATATTTTGACAACACATGGTCTGATGGGTACAGGTGTGAGGTAGTTTCAGTAGGTTCCCATAATGTTATAAAAATGGTAGTTAATTGAACTCAGGTTGAATAATGAAGTTGAGAAAAAGTTTAAGTTATAAAGTTGTTGTTTCTTTAATAGATTTAGGAGTCTGCTCATCATTTAATGTGGAAGACTTGTCAGCTCCCACTGACATCATTGTAATATAAATGCACAGGGCCAAAAGCTGCAGTGTTTTCATTGGTATGAAAGAACCCTCCATGCTTTGATTTAACATGCATTAACACACAGCAAGTTTCCATCATGAATATTTTCCTCAAATTACAAAACGGCGGAAGTCTCTGGAGAATTTTCACTTCTAATGTGCGAGTTGCATTTTAAGGAGCTGACTCTCAAATTAAATGCTGTTTAAGTTTGAAGTTGCATAATTATTGAAATTTTACTCCGCACCGTTTTACAGTTTTGAATTTTCTTTTTTTTCATGTGGGAGCAGACTCTTCATTAGCTTGACCTTTGACCTTTTGTGCATGTTTCCTGGCGTGTTGCAGGAATTCAAGAATGTGGACGGGGAGGAGTACCATGCAGACATGTCCACCTTGGCCTCGCCGGCCTCCCAGGGTAGTCCTGACGTCTACATCCTGCCGCTCACTGAGGTGTCCCTGCCAGTCGCCAAGCAACCAGCTCGATCAGGTGAGTTCAGCTCAGTTTAGCTGAGCCAGGGCTGGAGCCAATCAGCTGGACCAAAATTTCCCTGCAATTCACCTAATGCAAGGGTATCAAACATAAGACCCAGGGGCCAGAATCGGCCTGGCAAAGACTCCATTCGACTGGATCGGATTGGAAAATTGGAAAATATTTCAGTCTGTTTGGTCAAAGTGGGTTGACCTAGACTGCCATCTTTAAACTACAGCATGTTTAGTGCTCGATAACAGGAGGTAAATTAAGCTAAATAGTTAAAATAACTTCTCTGGATTCAAAAAAGAACAATTTTTATCTTTATTTTACTTTTAGGAAATCTAGTGTTGATTCCATTTCTGAACGAAATAAAACATGTTAATGTTTGTTTGCATGCTGATTACTCAGCTGTGTTTTTTCTTTACAAAATACTCGTGCTATGGCACTCGTTTCCAAGCAATAACTCCAACAAACATTAAGAAGCACAGTGCAGAACAGAAGCCTCTGTTTGTGCATCAGGAGCAGCTGGCTGTTGTGGTTGAAGGTGACTGCAATCAGGACGCTGCTACAACTAATTTCTCTGCTGCTGCTTACTTCATGCCTCAAATCAAAAGGGTGGATGTGGCTTGTGGTGCCATGGCATTACTAATACAAAGAGGAACTTCTTTTCCTACAAATCCCTCTGTGCAGGTCAAAGCTCCAGCAACACTTGCAGTTTAAAGAACAGTTTTGTTACTTGACCTTTTGGATTTTTTACTTTTAAATTTTGTTTCCACGGGGTGTAACGAGGACTTCCCAATCCACGAGTTTTTAAAGTTAACACTGCATGTTAACTTCCTTTGTTTTCTATGTTTGAATCCAGTTTACAGTGAACTACCTGTACAAATAAAGGTTATTTTTTTAGCAAAATTAAAATTAAGCAGTTTATCATCACTGTTCGGTGTTTTAAAAAATGCCCACAGAGTTGAGCAGATATGATTTGCTATTTAAAATTTTTCCTATAAAGACTTTATTTTCTACTCACACGTGTTCTATTTAAAGTGCTGACTGAATCAAAACAAGCTTGATGACGTAATAAAACCAGTCATTAACCATGCTCTTCTCCCTGCACATTAGAAGTAGTGCTCATTTCTATTCTCAAGCCCCCTCTCACTTTCAACCCGTCTCATGATATTGAATAAAATATATGGAATATTGCTGGGAAAAAAGAATTTGTTTAACCATGAATGTTATATTTTGGGCTCCATATGACCCCATTTATTCTGGACTCTTTTTTTTTATACCACCAGCTATAAAAAACTAATATATATATATTATATATATAATATATATATATATATATATATTATATATTATATATATATATATTATAATATATATATATATATATATAACACAAAAAAGGTCCAAGTAGAGTGGAGTTCTTCAGCTTTTAGAAATTCCTTTCAGTTCTTCCAGTAAACAAACAGTAACGTCATATTTTCCAAGGAAGCACGAGTACTCCAAACACAGACGCGGGCAGGAACTTTGAATTAAACTGGAGCATTTTCAAAGAGGCTGAAGAGTGAAGTCAGTGCAGAAGGGCTTTACTTGGACACTCTCTCTAGTGGCCAGTAAGGAGGCAGTTGGAGAATAGGTGTGACTGTGTAGAAGTCAATAAGAAAACAACCCAGCTAAACACCTTCCTGATGAGTTCATGGTTTCAGTTCCACCATTTTAAATTATGGTTCCCATTACTGTCAAAAAGGACAATAAAGCAGGCCATGATTTAGGGCGGGCCTACTATTAGTTCAGTCAGATGCACGATGATGACGGCCAAAAAGGCTTCAAAATGGGAGCCAGCAAACCAGCGAGTGACATGGTTAAAAAAAACATACAGGGATCTGTAAAGGTGTAAAAAAAACAATCCTTTTTCAGGATTTTCTTCACCGGCTCTGCACTGACAAAAAGGAGGTCAACAGGGAGGTCAAGATAAATAAAAACCATAAAAACTGCTAAACTAGAGTATAAAAACACACTTGAAAAAAAATTCACCACAGGGGACCTCCACTCAGCCTGGCAGGGCCTCAAAACCATGGCCTCTGTGAATACTGTGGTCACCAGGTGGAGGGCAGCAACCCCTCCTCCCTCCCTGACGACCTCAACGCTTTCTACTCCAGGTTTGAGACGGACAACATGTCCCAGCTTGAGGAGTCCAGATCCTCACTCAAACCTGGCAGCTCTGTACTCAGCTTCAGGGCTGAGGACGTGGTGAGAGCCCTCAGGAGGACCAGGGAGAGGAGCTCACCCGGCCCTGACAACATCAGCAGTCGAGTTCTGAGGCCCTTTGCAGGGCAACTAGGAAGTGTGTTCCGGACTCTATTTCAACACTCAGCTGACAGTCACACCGTCCCCCAGCTGTGGAAACACTCCAGTCATCCCCATCCCCAAAAGAAACAACCCAAAGTCTCTGAATGATCTTCGTCCTGTGGCCCTCACCTCCCTGGTGATGAAGGCCATGGAGAAGATCATAAAACAGCACATGGTAAGAGCAAATGGCCCCTGATGGACCCACTCCAGTTTGCTTACCGTGCACGCAGAGGTGTCGATGATGCAAAAATCTTCATCTTGGACTCCATTCACAAACATCTGGAGCTCCCTGACTCCTCCGCCAGATTTCTTTTTGCTGGTTTCTCATCAGCGTTCAACACTCTGCAGCCTCATATCCCAGCCTCTAAACTTTCCACCCGATTTCACCTGGATGATCAGCTGATCCTGTGGATATTGGACTTTTTGACCAACAGGACTCAGAAAGTTCGGGTCAACAGCTCTCTCTCCGGTCTCTGTTCCACCTCCACTGGCTCCCCCCAGGGCTGTGTGCTCTCCCCCCTGCTCTTCATCCTCTACACCGATGACTGCAGATCCACACAGCCCAACTGTCACCTGGTTAAATATGCTGACGACAGATCTCCTGTCACTGCTGTCAGGCCCCTCACAACACCACGGGCCCACTCTGCAGGAGTTTGTAGAGTGGTGTGACAGCTCCAACTTGAACTGAACGTGAGCAAAACCAAAGAGATGGTGGTGAATTCTCCAGTAGGCACAAGGATCTGGCTGCTTCAGTCACCACCACCATCCACGGGAAGCCAGTGGAGGTAGTTGAGGAGTACAAACACCTGGGAACCATCTTTGACAACCTCCTGAAATTCTCTGCCAACACAGAGAGATTCTCAGGAGGTGCCACCAACAGCTATACCTCCTTAGGAAACTCAACTCCTTTGGAGTCAGCACACCCATCATGATGACTTTTTACTACGCCTTCCTGGAAAGCATCATGACCTCCATCAGCTGCTGGTTCCACTCCCTCAGCCTTCATACAGGAACAGACTGCAGCACACGGCATCAGTGTGCTCTAAAATCATTGGCCTACCTGTCAGAACTCTGGCAGGTTTTCAGCCAACAGGCTCTTAGACAGGCAGCCAAAATCATCAACAACCGCTCTCACATTCTTCACCCCGCATTTCAATGGCTCCCCTCTGGGCGACGCCTCCGATGCATTTCCTGCAGGACTGAGAGGAGGAGGAGCGCCACCTCTGTCCCCTCAGCCACTCTGCTTTTTAACTCCAGCCGATAAGAACATTTCCCACACCCATAAACATAAACTACTCCACACTCTTCTTATACTACCGACACTTTATTCACTTTTAGTCACTTACAGTTATTTATTCACCTTTCAGTCACTTTGTTGTTTGTTAATTGCCCCTTGGGGATAAATAAAGTCTTCTGATTCTGATTCTGAAAAAGGAGAAGCAGTTAAACAGGGTCCTTCCATTTTCCTTTGCTGTTTTCTCACAGAGTAAATCTCAGAAATCCACTGATCAACTTTAAAGTGATTTGTGCTTTTTCTCTGCTGTTGGAAGGCACGATGTGAAATGAACCAGAGTTTAAAGAATATCCAATCCTAATTTCACTTGTGACAATTTTTAATCATTGGTTAGTCATTTATGCGTGCAGTCATTTACAAACTGATGCAAAGCTTTCAGGAGTTTAGTAAAAGTACCAGAACATAACACATTCAAGTGCATATCAAGGGTGCGAGAGTAACATAAGATGGAGGAGACTAGTGTGTCTGGCATTCGTCAACGTTTGTCCCTGGAGTGAACACCACCCTTACGCTGGCCTCAGTCAGCTGGATCTCCACCTATCCCACAATCCCTCGCTGCAGGTCCCTACAGAATGAACTCTGTGCTCTTTAGCTTTCACTCTCTCCCACAAACATCTGCCTGTTGTATAATAATGTCCAGGCGGCCAGCCTACACTGCTGTTTGTTGGTATGTGAGGCATGCAAGAGCACAAAACCCCAGTGAGAATTCTCCCCTCTCACTCTGATGCTTTCTTTCTCCTTTTTGCTCGTATGTGACAATGGTCCTTGTTGTGTGTTAATGGGCTGATGCTGCCTGATAAACTTATGGCACTGGAGTGTGGTGAGACTTTGTGGATCGAGCCCACGCAAACGCAGGTCTGCAACAAAGCACAAATACACTGAAATGTAAATGTTTGCTCGGTTTCACGTCTGAATGTAGTCGAATGAAAAAATAAAACCCTGAAGGGTAATTTTATTTTAATAAGGAAGAATTCTGTTTCTTATTCTTTATGATGCCTACACAATATACCTTTAATGATAGATGGAAGCAACCCGGGTCTGAAAAGTCAGGTCAATTTTTACTTACAGAAAAAAATAGATGGACATAGTAGCGTAGTGTCACCTGTGGTTTTGTTCCACTTCACTGCCTCCGTTCAGCTACACAAAGTGGTCACACACGTAAACTTAGGCCTTGCTGGCATGCCAGGGGATAGGTTCTGAAAGCTGTTTACCCACAGCACGGTTGATATGGGGGAGGAAAGGGTCTGCAGACAAAACTGTGTTTTACTACCAGGCTGTAAACCTGCTTTTAATGCTGTAATGCGTTTTATCACAGGAGTCCATGGAGAGTGACTCAAACAGCCACTGAAGGAGCTGCAGTTTTTGGCACTTCTTTGTTGGCAGACTTTTTCAGCCCCCAGAGGTTATCGCTTGGACCTGCAGGAAAGGACTTCAGCAAACACTTTCCTCAAGAGTTTTTATGTTAATCACTCATTTCAAGGCTTTCTGAGTTCAACAAGATGTGCTTTTTGTAAATTGTGGTCCCCGTTAGCCGTGTGATTGACAAGTTGTTATGGTCTGATCGTGCAGTGTCGCTCTTTTATCAGGTAGATCCTGGTCACACCTGGTTTCAAAGACGTTCCTGATCACAGTTTCCAACATCTTTTATATACAGTCTATGATCTAGACAGGCAGATTTGGTTTCATGGCATCAAAAGCAAAACTTTGGCAATTAAAACCAAATTCATTTGTATACAAGGTTGTGCGCGTTAGAAAACATTCTCTTACTTATTTCCTATGATTTTGGAACCTGATCCTTTAAAGCAGGCGTTTTTTCTTCTGTAAATAATAGGAGCCATATGGTTTGTATTGTAGTGGCAGTCGGGGATTCATTACTGCACCTTGAGGACTGCCTCACCCAGTGACATCATTTGGGGTATTTGTTTTTAAGGGAAATGAGGTAAAGAAAATGATCCGTCTCGCTCCATTTCATGTTTCTCACGTTTCTCATAATTTTAGTTTTCAGTTATTTGCTGCCATTTCATCAAGAACAGGTCTCATTTTACTCTAACGTCTCTACTTCAACTTCAAACTTATCTGTATATCTTCCTACAAACGCAGTTTAAAAAGCTTTTTCATGAGGATAAAATATTAAAACTATAAAAGAAAGAAAGAAAGAGAGAAGAAGAACATTTAATTACAAAAACAAAGAAAAAGCATGAAAAAACTACAAAGGAAGAGCAGTGACTGCCACAAAATGACTGAGGAAGCGAATGAAGGGGCTCCAAGAATGAAAGCTCCTGACGTTACTTTCAACACCGTGCCGGTGTGAGTCTCAGATTTCTAATGTCTGATAATTCCTGAGGGCTGAAGCAGGAGGATTTCAGCCAATATTCCCATCTCTTCTGTCATCCTGCAGCGCTGTGGGGCTGTGCTTGGACTGTGTGAATAAGTGGAGTTCCTAATGAGACACCAGTATTGCGAGAGCTTGGCTCAGACCAGAGCCCAGTTTCAAGGACCCGCCCTGATGCAGCTGTTGTGCATTGCAGGCTGCACTGTAACGACTAATGGAGCTCACACCCACTCATATTACACATGAGAACAACTCCACACACACATAAAAACACAATGAGGAATTGAAGCAAAAAAAGGGAGATGTTCTACTCATTTCCCGCTTCTTTCATCGCTGGCCTCGGCACAGTTACATGATTCACAGCTCAAAATGATCCTTATTTATCTCATACTTATAGAACAGTCTCGCTGCTCTGTCGTCTGTAGCCAAACAAAAAGGATGGTTAAACGTCATAATTGGCTTTAAATGATTATCCAAGGACAGCACTACAGCTCAGCACCTGCAGAGAGTGAACCATGATGCACTGGACTGTTAGGGGATAATGGGAATTCCATTTGGCCATGATTGATTTTGCCAACGTGCATCTCGCTAAAGGCTTCCCGGCTGCTGGGGTTTTTGAGCCTGATGCATTCTTATCAACATGCTCAGCATCTTAGTAAGGGCCGGTCAGTGCTGTCAAATGAAATTAACTTATAAATAGGATCTCAGATCTTAGCTCAGTAATGTGGGTTTTTTTCATTTCAAGCACTCTGTGAGCATATTTTTCTGTTCTTATTCTGAGCAATTGTGTTTGGACACAGGACCAAACACAATCGAGCTTATATTGACATGCATAGGGCTACCTTTGTGAAAGTTTTGGATCAATTGACTGATTAAAATGTCATGAAATTGACAACTTTTAGGTTTAGGGTTAAGATTAGAATTAGGTTAGGGTTAGAAACGTAGTCGTGATGGTTAAATCAAGGGCTGAAAGGCCTGGGAATAAATGAATTCATAAAGAGTGCATGGATGCATGAACAAAGAGATCTAGTATTAGTAGAATAATACAAAGACAACCAAACATATGCTGCTACAGCTTCTTTTGCATTGTTGTGAGTAAACATTTACATGTTAAGGAAAAATTCAATCTATTATTTCACATCCACCCTCATACAGTATATATACTCCTACATATATATATACAGATACCCCACTATACCTTACAAATGTCATTGCAGCGTGCACACAAACCAAACGTGGTGCCAGAGACAATGTGAAAGTTAACAAATGCTTAATATAGTCTTTAAGAGTTTCTTTTCTCTCATTGTTCCGTCAGAATTATGAATATTTGTGGTAAACATGAGGGTGTAGGTGGAACTCATTGCATGCCACAGTTATCACCAAAGCTCAGTTCATTCTTATGTCATGGAGCTCACAGATAATGGCTCCAGTGTTGCTGACTGGTCCTAACTGGTGCCATGCTGCCCTAAGCAAAAAGACAATAGTGGCTATTCTGTTATGGCCCAGCAAGAGTGTAAGTGGGTGTAAGGAATGACCAGTCAGGGGAAGGGGACAGGGGTGCCCAATATGGCCTCCACACAGTGACTGGACTGTGTCGCAGTCTGGAGGGGGGAAGATAGCACCACAAAGATCTGTCTGTCTGCCTCTACGCCCAGAATCCAAGTTCCATCGTGGGAGACACAGAGTGAAAGAAAGAGATAGATGGTGAGGGGAGAGAGGAGGGGATGCTACCCTCAGTCTGTTTCATTCGGTGGAGCTGGGACAGGATGGGGCGGTTGGGCATGTTCAGCAAGCAGGAAGGACGCGGGTCATCGGGGGATGCTGAGAGCGATGCACCGGCGAGCTGGAGGACCACCACACAGATCGGTGACAGAGACGGCTCGGTAGAGAATAACACTTAGGGGCAGAGTTTGCTTTGTCTGGGCAACAATGGGCAGCATCCACTGGCATGTGCGGATGTTTAGCTTGAGAGGCGGTTAACAGCAATCGACTGAACACAGGATGGACCCTTCAGTGGCTACTTAACAACCTGGATCTGGTGCGTTGCGTCATATCATTTCTTCATGTTGTACATATTAGGCTTTTGGTATATGTTTCAGATTTAAGTCCAGTCATTATAATAGAAAGTAGTAAAACCAGGAAATCTTTTATTATTAAAGAATAATCCATTTCATCTGTATTATGATGAAACAGGCAGAGAGAATAAAAAAGATCAAGAAATGTGATCGTGGTAAGATAAAAGATCTTTTTTTGTTCTTTGGGAAATTGTCCCAGGCTCAGAGGAGCTCTCGCATAGAAGTTTTAAAGAGGTTAATAAACTTATGATGAACTAATAAAACTATAAAATGCATTAAAGTGGGGTAAACTATTAAAAAAAGAAAAAACAGGAACCCCAGCAAATGCAGATGTTTTTTTGAACTTGCAGATGTTAAGAAATGTTTAAATTAAGAACATTTTATTCAGTGCTTCCAGGTGTAAGACGTCTTTCAGAAGCTTTTAAATACTACTTTAATTAAATATTAATATATTTTAAGTTGAAAACCTTTTTAAAAAGGCATTCAAGTGTAAGACGTGCACTCTTCTGCTGACTATTTATAATTGTTTAATGAACACTTAAACTTTTTTCGGCATTTGGTTTCCCTCCATTTTCATATAGTCGATAAGCACTCCTTATGTCCGAGCCCCGTTTGAGTGGTGAAATCCATCAGTGCCATCATGATTTTGTTGCGTGATAATGGAACATTAAATGTTTACATTGCATTACATTCTAATGATAATGTACTTTTAATCCAATATATCGTATGTACTGTCCAGTGAAGAAGAACCGATTGTATTTTTGGAAATGATTTGTGTTTAGTGGATTTTACTTTACTTGACCCATCTGACTGACAAATACATATAACATTAAGATTATTAGTTTTAGTATGTTTAGTGTGTCAAAATTATGTAAACTGCACACATGGAATATGCATGTGCAGTTGAAATGGGGGAGTTGAAACTTTAATGTGTGTACAAATAATTTATGCCACTTACAGGTGGATTCATTTTACATATCAGTGACAATCTTTTTTGTTTAGTTAAAGAAATTAAATGTTACCACTGACACCAACTTTCCACAAGGACAGCTGCAATTCATCACTTGTACTTTCAGTTTTTCTCAATGAGCGCGGTTTGAATAGTTTAAATCATTGACGATAACGCAAAGAAATTAGTAGAAAATGGACAAAAACATGCAAAATGTTTAGTGCTGTGAGTGACCATGACTTCAGTTCAAAGGCTTTTGATTGACACTCACCAATCTCTGTTACATCTTTTCTCTTTTTCTCTGTCTTATTCAGTCCAACTCCTGAAATCGACAGATCTCAGCCGCCACAGTCTTCTCTACCTGAAAGAGATTGGGAATGGCTGGTTTGGGAAGGTGAGCCCACTTCAGAAACCTCAATCTTCATAAAAACCTGCTGGTAATTTCAAATCTGTCGCTCCCTGCCGGGTAGATGAAACGCAGCTTCGTTGAGACTCACATCATGGCTGTTAGTCTTTGCTGTGATCCCGGCTCCTGCTCGGAGCGGGAGTCGGTTAAAAATGTCCGACACGCTGCGTTACCTGAAATGTCTGAGTGTGTAATGCCAGCCCGATCCTCTCGCCTTTGATGTCAGCTTGTTCCCAAAGTGATAGACTTAGGCCTTGAGAACAAATTTTACGCTGCTAAATTTTCAAAGTAATAGCCCTCCTTGCAGCCTAAACCTTCTGGTGTGTTAACATGTTTTTACAACCAGATAACATGTTGTTGTCATTCTCTCTCGTTTTCCCCCTTCTGCTTCTTTGTCTGCTTCTCCTCCTTTTCTTATTCATACTGTTCACTCATGAATATTCATCCACCCTCCTCATCCTTGTGCACCATCACTGGGTATGTCCATCTGTTTGTGCGTATTATCTGCACTGCTGAACTCCCGCATGACTGCTTCATCTCGTTTTGTCTGTCTTTGTGTAATGGTACTCCCATTGCATGTTTAATGCGTTTGCTTATGTGAACGTGGCCATCCGTCTGTGTGCCTTCCCCTGTATGCATTTGTCTCTACTTGTTTCAGGTTCTTCTGGGGGAGGTGAACGCAGGCCTGAACACCACCCAAGTGGTGGTCAAGGAACTCAAAGCCAGTGCCAGCGTACAGGACCAGATGCACTTCCTGGAAGAAGCACAGCCTTACCGGTACACCTTCACCTCCCTCACATGTGTCTGTAGTTTATTCTTACATGGACAATTTAAGCAGTACATGTAAAATCTACAGTCTAAAAGTACTGATTGAAAGGGCAGAAGTAGTGCTTACATATGTCCAGTCTACATTTTAATAAAGTCTCCTTAACTGAAGCTGGATCAGGTAAACCTGAGCCACCCCTGAGCACTGAGCATCTCTCATGTCTTTGTCATTTTTGTGTCCTCTGTCCTGACGTTTTAGTCCATTTTTGTTTGTCGTTTGCTCCTGGTTTCTCTCAATTCTCTTTCTTGTCACCCTTCCGGGTGTTTGAGGCAGACATCTGCAAATGTTTTATGTTCAAAACTTGAGATAAACTTGTAAAATACTGACGGGTCAGCTTCCCAGGATCTATGAAACTGGCTTTTACTTGCTTTTCTGTAACTTTTATGTATAGCATCATGCTTTTGTTTTCCAATCACAATCAGTCAAATATTTTAGTTAAAACTAAGGATGCATGTCTTTAAATATACTTAATAAATACTGTAATATATAATTATTCATCCTAATAATTAATCCTTTGTTTATCCCTGCAGAGGGATTCAGGCATTATCTGGGCAAATTATACTTTATACTTCCTTGGGAATACAAATGCAATGTAAAGCCAATACAATAACTCTGTCATAAACTCTTCTTTTAAAAATTTTATACTTTTTCCATTTTTGTTGGAAAAAAAAATCAGACGGAGGTCACGGTGTTTATATTCTAACGTGTTGCTGTTATTTTGCCCCTTTGTCGTTAACATAGGTTAAAATCTTCTCAGCGGCAACAACAGTAACACATACAAGCTTGTAAAAGTATAATAATGACAGACCTCTCGGTGGATTGCATTAAAGTTGTTAAAGGTGATCGGTGCATAGAGAGTATCATAAGAATAATAAGTTAGAATAAATGTATGCCTGGTACATGTGCAAGAATAAAATGCAGATCAAGGTTAAAATCGAATCAGAGTAAAAGAAAAAACACTTTAAATGTACTTTAAGGTTAAATGGAAAAAATAAAAGCAGAGTATGAAGAATGAAAAATAAATGATATTACCACAAAACAGTACTTGTTAAATTAAGATGGATGGTGTCTCAGCATGGTTGTCTAATATTTTCTTGAATACTCAAATATATCAGCCATATCTCAATACCAAAAGTATTTATACCCATGTAATACTAAAACATATACTCGTGTTTAAAGGTGATAAATAATATGTGCATGCTGAGATCCTGTTCTCTTCTCCAGTGCCCTCCAGCATCCTGCTCTGCTGCAGTGTCTGGCCCAGTGCACTGAGATCACTCCCTACCTGCTGGTGCTGGAGTTTTGTCCACTGGTGAGTATTCAAAGCCATGAGACAGATGTGCGGAGACACTCTTTAAATCATAGTATGAAAAAAAATATACAATACCAAATCTCAACTGGAGATTTTATTTTGACGATCCCAGTTTAATTTAAAGGGTTTAATATTTTAATAAAATCACCATGTTTAACATTAGTTTATTAATGTCCTTGACAACTTTTTTGACTGTTGACTTTAATCCAAATTCTGTAGTACTTCAACTGATTGAAAGCATTTTAGTAATTTGTCATTGTAGAATGTTATATTAACTGTCTAATAAAATCCTTCTTGGCAGCTGCTGTAAGTATTTGGCAGACAAGCTTAAAGTGAGTCAATTTACACTTGTGCCACTCCAACCACTTCCCAGAATCCATCACCGTGATTGGTTTAGTAGATTACACACAGATATTTATAGTGAATAATAGTAAAACCAAGAGCCTCCTGCCACTTCTCATCTTTTATTTTTATTCCCACTGTAGGTTAAGTGCAGGTGGGTAGTTCCTCTTATAAGGCGAGGTCGAGTGTGGAAATGGTAGCAAAAGCTAAACCAAAAACATCCCATTCAGATCTAAGTTAGAGGAAACTTTGCAATTATTAGCATCAAACTTATTATTTATTATGAAGACTCCAAACAGTCTAAAGCTTTAAGACAAACTAGAATGAAGACTGCCAAGAAGATGATATTTAGTCCAAAGAGAAGCTTAATTCACTCAGATGGCCGGATTTCTCGGCTCATCCCTAAAATCTCTAATTATCCATTTCCATAAAGAAAAGTGAAGACAACAAATTTGCTAGTTCGTCTGGTCTTCTCCTGTGCAATGTTCCGGTTTCTGACACCAATCAAGGTTTACATGACTGGACAGAGGCGACGTAGTAAAATAGTAAGACTGCCCTCCAGTGGTCATACAGATGTTTTAAAGCTGTCTTTTGTGTGCAGGGGGATGTGAAGGGTTACCTCAGAAGCTGCAGAACCTCTGAAACCATGAGCCCAGAGCCCCTGATTCTTCAAAGGATGGCCTGTGACATTTCCTCAGGCCTCCTGCACCTGCACAAACACAACTTCACGCACAGGTAAAGAGTCGTTTCAGACTTAAGCCTGAGAAATCCGACTGCTGTCACTGATGCTGTTCAGTCAAGCAGGCAGTTTACCTCTGTTTACCCTATAAATAACACAATTATTCTATATCATCAGTCCTCTTTTAGCTGAAGCAGTTAGTTTTTTGTATGCCTCAGTTCTGTCCCAGCACAGGCCCCGACTCACCTTCAGTCTGATCTTAACCAGAGACTTTCAAAATGCAGACAAAAAGGTGTGACTCTCGTAAATGCCTGTATTTTTAAATATTTTAAAACGGTCCAGACTGCTATGACTTTATTTCCAAATCGTCAACGTATTGTGTTAGAAAGACATCGGCTAGGACTAGCTCTCGTACATATTTCTAAAACGAATTTTTACCAGAAGGTGGTCAAAGTTATTAATTTGTATTTACCCTGGTGGCCTGGAAAAGAGAACTTCTTTGGGAAATGCAGAAGTTAGAAGAGCAGTCGCACATGTTCAAAAACGTTTCTACCCATTGGTGAAATGCTGCCAAAAAGTTTTGAAAGCTTTCAGAGAATATTTGCACAAAGTGACCCGACTACCACTCTTTTGGTGTCCAACAGATACTCAGGTTTTTGCCCTGATAACGATCATTAATTTAAGAGTCACCATCTGACTCATCTGGTTTCTTGGATAGTAGAATTAAAGGACGCCTTTGATTTTAGCCATAAGGTTATCGTCTCTGTGATCTACAGCAGTGAGCCTGTATATCAGAACTTACTGTTCTTCAATACTGATAACAGATTTCACAGTCATTGCTGTTCAGTGAGAACACCGGATGGCTTTACTAACAGACAAGATGCAGTCATCTAATGCGGTTTATTTGTAGAGTATTACTGCTGAAGCCTCCAAACTACCTCACACGTGTCCATTCATTTAAATCGGTTAACGTTCAGTGAATGCTTAACCCAAGCTTGATCTGCTTTCAGTTGAATGAATCAAAAGCCCTCCTCAAACATGTCCTTCAAACTTCTTGAAAATCCAGCTTTATTAACCGTTTTTCATATTTGTGTGTGTGTGTGTTATTTTTCTGTCTGCTGTGCTCTATTCAAAAAGATTTTTTTTATTTCAATGAGATTTTTCTACTAAGTATTACAGATATCTCGCTCTGAATTTGAGATTAGCCTTTTGCCTCTCGGTCGCTTCCTGAAACAATATCCTGGTGCTGCCTGAGTGCTCCCTAAAGACTCCAGCATCAGTGATTTTGTTGCAGGCGGTGATCCCTCCTCTCCAGGACTCCAGTTTTTGTATTTTTTCCAATAATTTATTGTTATTTTATCTAGTTTTCATTTCACTTCATACTCAAAAAAAGAAAAAGTTGTATTCCTACTACAGTACACCTGGTTTTATCATGCAGGAAAGGACTTAAAGTATTCAAGTCATGACTTTAAATCATGGTGGATAAGTTTACCTATAATAGTATAGATTCGTATTTCAAATGCAAAATAAGAAGTACCTGAAGCTTTAAATGACATAAACAATACAAGTAATTACTCTTGTCCTGTTGGGCAAATCAAATCAAATCAAATTCAAATTCAAATTTTATTTGTCACGTACACAGTCATACACAGTACGATATGTAGTGAAATGCTTGGACAACTGCTCGTGACCTAAAGAAAACAAAAAGGAAAAGGCTATGAATAAGATAGGAAATAAATATGAAAAATTAAAAAGGGTAAATTTAACTAGGAAGGAATAAAATATATAAATGAACGTTAAAAATGAAATAACTGTACAACACAAATTAGAATGAAGGGTAAATTTAACTGGGAGAATAAGATAAAATATATAAATTAAAGTTGAAAATAAAATAACTGTACAACAAAATACACAATATAGAACTATATAAGAATGTATGAAGAAATCTAAATATAAATAAATATATACACAATAACAGCAGCTGTACAAGTATTAACCGGAAATGAAGAATATAATGACCAGTGTTGTGCAAAAACAATGTCCAGATGTCCAGTGTGTGTGCACTTACGGCAAGGCATTTCCTGTATATTTTATTTCATTTTAGTAAAATTTACTTAATTTGTTTTGTTTATTTTTAGCCTACTGTGAAAACACAGGACTAAATGCTGTTGTTTGCAGGACTTCGAAGTATTTTTGTACATTGATAAAAATGTGCTAGTCTTGTTGTTTTGTGTTTGCTAATGTTAGAGAGACATAACAGCTGTTTACCCCCCTCTCCAGTGACCTGGCTTTAAGAAACTGCTTGTTGACGGCTGATGTCTCAGTGAAGATCGGAGATTATGGTCTGGCCCACACAAAGTACAAGGTACACAACCAGTGTGTTAAATATGAAAAAGATCAGCAAACAACAAACTGGTCCTGTTGCTCTTTGTAAAGTTTGAAAATATATTCTGTATTCATCACTAGCAGGCAACAAAAAAGCAAGCTCGTTATATAAATAGTCAGTTCCCAAATGGTTCTGAGTTTACATTAATCACAGTCGAGTGAATTTCCGCAGGGTTATAAGAACGTTCTTTTCACTTTTTAGCATTATATCAGAAAAGGCTAAATTGTCCAGCAGGTCATTTAGTTTGAATTTGTTTTTTGTCATATTTCTGCAACTTAACAATTTACCTGACCCTCGTTTCAGGACGATTACTACGTGACATCAGACCAGATGTACGTGCCCCTGCGCTGGATCGCTCCAGAGCTGGTGGACGAGGTGCACGGAAACCTGCTGGTGGCAGACCAGACCAAACACAGCAACATCTGGTATCTGATCAATGCACATAGACACATCTTTTGTAGTTTGTGAGGACGCTCGCTGACATCATGTATAGCCCTTAACCATCATTTTAAATACTGTACCAAGTTATCTAAAACAATCCTTAAGTTAGCTCCAAACTTACTGAGGATGTCACCAACGTGTCGTCACTCCCAGAAGTCTAAAACAAAATGATTATATTGCATTCTGTTCAATAAGATTTAAATTTTGAAGTTTTAGGCCAAATATATATTATGATAATATTATTGTAATTCTCTATTACTTTCTGAACAGTTTGTAAGACGTGAAATCGCCAGCCCTAACTCCATGGATATAAGTTATAAAGAATGAAACACACAGGAGCTTTTATAATATTAATACACTAACAAACGCTTATATAGTTGTAAGTTTTTAACAGTAGATAAAAGGATGGATGTTACTGCAGGATTATAAGAAATGTATACATGAAATGTACATGAAGTCACTAATAAGATATATTTAATCTTGTCCTGTGTCTCAGGTCTCTTGGGGTGACTATGTGGGAGCTGTTCGAGCTGGGAAACCAGCCCTACAGACACTATTCTGACAGACAAGTGCTGACCTACGCTGTTAGGGAGCAGCAGCTGCGACTGCCCAAACCGCTGCTCAAAGTACCCCTCGCTGAACGCTGGTGAGTCACACATAAATGCAGCAAAAATGGTAAATGGCCTGTATTTGTATAGCACTTTTCTAGTCCCTAAGGACCTCAAAGTGCTTTACACAACCTGTCATTCACACACTGATGATGGCAGCTACATTGTAGCCACAGCCACCCTGGGGCGCACTGATAGAGGCGAGGCTGCCGGACACTGGCGCCACCGGGCCCTCTGACCACCACCAGTAGGCAACGGGTGAAGTGTCTTGCCCAAGGACACAACGACCGAGACTGTCCAAGCCGGGGCTTGAACCGGCAACCTTCCGATTACAAGGCGAACTCCCAACTCTTGAGCCACGATCGCCCCACAAAACACAACACATAAAGCAACACAATTAAATCCCTTTCACGAGGAGGTTTAATGAACTTCCAATTGTTATTCTTTTGTTGTTGCACTATTCTTGGACTCTGTTGCTGTAGCCTTATATGATTCACAGTTCACAATGAACATCGCAGTAACTTTTTACTTCCATACTGGGCTTTGGTGCAGCTCCATGCCTCAGTTATGGCACATGTATATATTTATTTTTTGGTTTGGATTATGTTGCATATTAGATTTTGCAATATTATTTTCTGATTTTACGTATTTGAGTTTTTTATATATTTAATTATTTCATTATCACCCACCTACTTTCATTTAATTTTAATTAAACTTTTCTTTCTTTCTTTGTGCCTTGTGTTTTGGGTCTACAGGTATGAGGTGATGCAGTTCTGCTGGCTGCAGCCTGATCAGAGGCCAACTGCAGAGGAAGTTCACTTGCTGCTCAGCTACCTATGTGCCAAGGGGGCCAGCGAGGCCGAAGAGGACTTTGAGAGACGCTGGAACTCCCTGCGTCCCAATACTGGATTCAACAGTCAGCGTGGTGCCTCAGCGATGTCACGAGACCACCCCTCATCAACCACCTCATCTTTCCCACTCTTAGAACCATTTTCTACTGGTGATGGCTACCACTCAGAGTCTGGAGATGACATACTAACAGTCACTGAAACCAGCCATGGCCTGAACTTTGAGTACAAGTGGGAGCAAGCCAGGGCAGACCAGTCATACAGAGCCCCAGACACGTCTAGTACCTTAGGTCAGGTAAACCATCATTGTCAGGAAGCATTTTACCCACCTGGAGGCATTGTGGGAGGCTGTCCCATGGAAAGCCTGAGCCATGGAGTTTCTCCTTCCTACTATCAACCTAAACATCTACACGCTCCAGGTGTACTTCCTGTCCTCAGTGCCCATAGCCCCTCAGTAAACAGTGAATACTACATTCGTATTGAGGAACCAGTAGACTGTAACATTGATCCAGACTACACCATGGTCTCATACAGCCCAGACTACCAGGGCAGCAGTGGGAGCTTCCTGACTGGGAGCGCAGACTCGGGTGAGTGCATGGCCTGCCCATCACAGGCTAAAACTATGGGTCCTTATTGGTCAGCTGACATCCATAAATCTGACATGTATGACTCCAATGACTCAAGTCCCGCCATCTCCCTGACAATGGAACCCCTTTTAGGTCAAGTGTCAGATAACAGCCCCCTACGACCCTGGGAGTCTAGTCACTATGTGTCCTATAAAGATCGAGATGGGGGCTATTATTTTGACCACTCACCACCTTTGGGAATAGATCACTATCTGATCGGAGGTGAGCTCTCCAGAGAGCATCATCAGGAAAGCTGGGGCTCAAGAAGCCTGCGTCAGGCTTTGGGGGAGTTGGAGAACCCACTAGTGATATCCCATTCTATAAACAGTCCATCTCAGCAGGCTTACAGAGACACATACCTGGACACAAGTCAGACGTCCATTATAGGAAAGAATGTCACTGGAGGTTATTATGACATGATGGGTTCCCTGAGGAAGACTATGCCCAGCCACACAAGACACAACAGTAACTCTGTCAGTATAAACATGGAGACTCAGGGGGCTCTCTTCATCGGGCACAGAGACAGTGACTCAGAAGAGGAAGATGAGGACATATTTGTTGAGAGACACACTTGCAATACTTGGCCTTCGAAGCACCGCCACAGCAGTGCCGGTCACCAGAGACGGGCAAGCCATAGTTGCCGACAGGACACCTACGCCGATTTCCATTATACAATGCCGAGTACAGACATCGAGGACTCCTGGCCAGAAGGACACAGCCTGGCCTTTCACTCTCTACCCAAACCCATCGATTATCTTGAGCCACACCAGGTCAAAGATAATAGTGCCTGCCTTAGTTTGAGTAAACATCATGCTATGGTGCCCTCGGAAAACTGCAATGCCTACATTTACATGTGCCATGAAGGTGAGACTCAGGTGCCAACATCTGGAGAGTGCTGCCACTCGCACTTTGTTGACCCACTCACTGGCTTGCTTGTTCGAAACACAAGCTTTTGTCAGCTCTACAGTCACACTAACTACAGAGATAAAGTCACTGACATGCCAAGCAATGAAGAGATGATCAATTTATCACCAGCTCCAGGAGGTCCCATCGTGGCCAAATCTGTGGACTGTGGAGAACAGTATGTCGATCTTACAACTGATGATGTCCAAGCTAAAGAGAAGAGGGAGGACGTTATTAAGGAAATCATACAGAAACTGCCAGAGCCTAGAAAAGAAGAGGTGACTCTAACAATGACAAAAGCCACTCAAGCCACTCCACCTCCTGATGATAACACGCATGTGATGGTGGCGGTGACAGATCCACAGTCAGAGATGAGTCACACCAGTGACAGTGGCGTCGACCGTGAAGATTCCAATGTAAGCCTTGCTGACATACTCGACTGCAGTGACGATGACGAAGAGGAAGACATCACAGACGATATAACTGATGTTACTTCAGGCATCTTCGCTGATGAGTCCAGTGAGCTGAATGCTTCTCCCGCCTTCAAGTTGCTACAAAAGCAGGTAGGAACACCCGATTCCATGGATTCCATGGATCTGCCGTCTGCAGCTGGGTCTTGTGAAGGCTCCAGCCCTGCGTCATCCCACCCTTCCAGCTCACCTAAAGCTATGGACAGCGGCTATGACACCGAAAATAATGAGAGCCCCGAGTTTGTTCCCAAAGAACCTCATGAACCTCGTGAACAACCTTTAGGAAAACCTGCTCTTGATGCCAGCCTGGAGGAGGAAGAAGTCCTGGAGGAAGAGGGAATTGAACCTAAAGTGGTGCCCACAGAGGGTGAGTCATCAATGGGTGAAGATTTGGCACTAGAAGCATCACAGGCAGATGACCAAATTCTGTTACCCTTGAGCGATAAGACACCATACAGAGACTCTGCCTACTTTTCAGACTATGAGAATGAAAAGCAGACTCGGCATGAGGGAGAGGAACTCCAGATGGGAAAAACAGATGAGCAAAACATTGCAAAAGAACCAAACATGCCAGAAAAGAAAGCTGCAAAAAGGAAAAATGATAGAGAGGAAGAACTAAAGGATGTTGTAGTGAACAAGGACATAAAACTTGAAACGAAACAAACAGTAACAGACACAACAGAATTCTCTCCTGCACCAGAGATTGAGGAGTACTTGACAGAGGACTGTTGCGAAGATGAGACTTTAGGACTTCCTCCAGAGCCTTCTGATACTGAGGGAGGACTGGATGAATGGCCATCACAGGAAGAGAGCTCATCCTTGGGAGACTGGGCAGCTGAGGTGGTGGGGGCCATGGAAGAAGCTCTTGGTGCCCTGAATGGAGATTGTGCCACCAACGTAAATTTAGATAAGGAGGAAGCAGATGACATAAAAGACTCTGCTCAAACTTCAGAAACTTCAGAGGAGGCAGCAACCGAGACGGTTCAGAACAGGCCATCAGGCATATCCAGTGAAATGAAACACACCTTACCCAAAGATGAGGTAGCTTTGCAACAAACCTCAAACACCAGACGATTTTCCTCTTCCTCCCCTCCACCTCCTTCCACCCCACCGCCTCCGCTCCCTGCAACAGAGGGCAGAGCATCTCCGGCCGACGGGGAGGAGGCCGACGAGGAGGACGGCGATACCGATGACAGCGACGAGTCGGACGAGGAGCTGCAAAGCTACAATATGCAGGAACAGAGCGGAGGGGAAGAGAGTGAGGAAGAGTGCCACCCAGTGCCTATTGTGGTGAGCGACAACAGCGAGGCCCATAAACTGCGAAGCCTGCTCAAGATGCCAGCATTGCTCACTGAGGAGAACCTGGAGGAGGAGCTCGAACACAAGAAGAAAACAGTGTCTTTTTTTGACGATGTTACCGTGTATCTGTTCGACCAGGTGAGTGTCAAAGAGGGAAGATTAGCCTTAATATTGGCTCTATTAATGGCACATCAATAATGTTTATTCTGGTCCACTCACTGACTCTTTTAATATCACAACTGCTAGGAAAGCCCAACTAAAGAGCTCGCCGACCATGGCTTTCCTTTAGGAGCAGAAGGTTCTCGAACCAAACCCCAAGAAAGGGTTAATGCCTCAGATGACTCTTCAGACGGGAACATTTCGGAGGAGAGTATGTATTATTCTTTTACTTTCAAATGTGCAAATGTGAATATGATTACACACAATGTATTAGCACACTGAAGACTTTCTCATGTTAAGATATCAAACTATTACTTCCTCCCCTTTGCTGTTTTCACTCAGGTGCGGGTTTTGAGTGGGAAGATGACTTCCCCCTACTCCCACTGCCAACATCCTCAGCCGCATCTGAATCCCCTCCACCCCGTTCCATCACCACAACCCCAGACACTAAACCAGCCGTGCAGTATTCCCGCTTTACCGTCTCTCCCTCCAGCGTTTCCCGGTTCTCCATCACTCACATCTCAGACTCCGATATGGAATCTGCAGGAGGTAGGTCACTTCTGCAAACTCACGAGAAACTCATATTTTTAACAATGGATATACATATCTAATTTTGCCTCTGTAAACTATCACAGCGAATTTTAAAATCAAGCAATCATCATGTGCACTTTCAGCTTTATTTCAATAGGTTTTATGAAAACGTTGCAGTAAACATGTGTTGATATGAAGGTTTTACACTCTGTATTTTTTCTTCCCAGAGATGTCAGATGGAAACTGGCTAGTAGCTACATCTTATGAGATCACAGTTTTTGTGCATGATCGCTGACAAATAAAGAATAAAACTAAAATGCTTCTATCTGCTGTGTTAGACTTAAACCCAGTCTGGGAGCCTGGCCCATTAAAGATGCAATTGTTGGCTGCAGCATATTGCCAAAAGCTGAATTGCCATAATAATGAGAAAATACACTCTTGCCAAATGTCTTTGATATGTGCCAATGTTTTGGGGATAAAGATGCCCAGTGGCCTGTAAAAATGGGTGATGTACATTAATCCTTTCTGTCTCATTGTGTTTCTGCAGGAAGCAGTGAAGATGGAGACAAAGAATAAGAAGCTGTGGATGTTTACTGCCTCTTTGTGACAACAACTCGGTCTACTAGCATGACTACTGATTTCATTTTTAACGTCAGGTTTTAGAAACACAAGACAGTGCCTCTTACCGCCTGTGGACACTTTTGAAAGGTCCGTCTCACCACCATGTAGGACTGGCCTAAGCTGTTTAGAATACTGAAAAGAGAATTGTTAATATATAATATTTCAAGAATATTAATATATACGGTATGTATGATGAGTTTAAGGAACCAGGGGGAACTTGTATGTTGAATCTACATATTTTTTTGGGATTAAAGAAACAATGTGGAAGGACAGACCTTTGAAAAGCGTTACATTTGCCACATCTTTCACTTTCTAATTCGTCATGGGGAGCATTCATAAGAGTGTGGAGTCACCTGGACTTTAAAGAAAGAGGACTGTTAAACTGTTGCTGAGTAAAAGACACAATGTCAACTTTCTGACTTTTCAACAAAGGATCAGCACTTTGAACAAGACTGTACAGCTCCGCAGACTTTATACTTTTTAGGAAATGGTTTTACCTGTATTAATAATGAATATCAAAAAGAATCTTTAAAGTATCGCAAGTAATATAATGTCAGTATTTGGGATCATTCAGAGACGTGCTCGTGTGAAAGATGGAAGCGCAGGGGATCCTAATGGCTGTCTGCTTACAGGATGTTTTCTGTTTTTTGAGGAAACAGCTGAGCAACCTTGACAACCTAATAATTATTTGTGACTTTTTTCATTGTCACATCAGGACCGCGACTGTACTGTTTTACACAAACATCACTCTATTTACCAAACTGGGCGCCAGCACCACAATCGCAGCCAACTCCTCTTTACTGTAAGCATCAGACACAACATTGTGACTATAATGGGAAGAAGTACAGAGGTCATTTCAGGCTGAAGTCTTATGAAAGTTTCTTATAATATAGCAATGCATGGTTTCACATTTACAAGAATTTACGGCTAAGAAACAAAAGGAAAGTGTTTTTATTTTTAAGGCAGGTACACAGGTCATTAAAACTGACATCGACTGAACCTAACAGTGATGTAAGCCAGTAGGGGTGGGCAATATAATGTAATATTTTATCATGATGTGCGTGTACTGGATCTTCAGCTCAAAAATATAGACAAAATGTCTGTTTTGGTTAACCAGCAGATGCCTGACAAATCAAGGCACTTCATCACATTGATGCAAAGATACTGTTAATCCAACATTGCTAGAGAGCAGTAATACTCACTGACATGCGAGAAGATGTAGTGCAGCCTACAGAGGTACTGAAGGCATATATCCCTTTTCCACCGACACAGTGTTGGTTCACAGTATTAATAAAAGTAATTGTTTAGTAACAGAAAACTGCTGGGCCTGCTGGTGTCAGTGGTCATGGGAGGGGAATGTACCAAAAACCACAGTTCCTATCATGGCCACTTGAGGCTGGAGTCAGTTCCCATAAACTCCCATGTATAAAAAATTCAGCTTTACAGCCTTAATAAGCACGAGTCCAGCTTGGCACAAAAATGGTTTGGGCCTCTAAAGATAGATTTTTGGTATTGTTGCATTTTTTGTTTTGCTTTTATTAACTCAAGGTCACTGCATGACCTTCACCCCTCAACTGAGTGTAAAACAGCTGGGATGAGTGTCAGCACCTCTAAGTGTGAATTATGGTTTATTCTCTATTCATCAGGAAGTGGAGGATGAGATGGATTCGTTAAACATCAGCAGTGATGTGGGTGCTGTACTGGGCTGTTGTGGTGAAGAGAGAAGTTTTTTATTTAAGAGTCTATGTTCCAACCCTCACCCCTGGTCATGATATCAAGGTAATGACCGGAAGATTAAGGTAGGGAATACAAGTGGACACGTTTCCTCTGCAGGGTATCTTTGTTCAGCTTTAAAGATGTGGTTGAGGTCATTTGGATATCCGGTTAGGGGATCGCCTGGGAACTTCTTTCAGGCACACTCAACTGAGAGGTGACACCAGGCTAGACCCAGAATCCAATGGAGAGATCTCACCTGACCTGGGAAGGTCTCAGGATTCCCCAGTCCAAACTGAAAGTGATGCTGTGGAGAAGGACAACTTGAATACCTTTGCTTGCTGCCACCATTACACAACTTTAAATAAGTGGACATGGATGGATGGATGGATAAATAACTCCATCTCAATACAGGAGTTTAGGGGCGTAGCTGCTTTTCATACCTTCACCCTCCAAATAAATATCTGTCTCCAAAGAAAGGCACGGTAGAGTGAAAAACCACAACGCTGTCAAACCTGTCACAATGGTTCTCAAAAGACTCCAAGGCAGAACTGCCAGGAATGCCAGCACCACATTGGTGGAAAAGCAGTAACAGATACCGTGGTAGAAACATTTTTCCATTGGTGTGTACCATCATATTGCCCATCCCTGCACGCTAACATCTCAAGTTACCCAACAACATTTAAATACTGTCCGGTTTTTGTCTGCACTGAGGTTTGTCTGAACAAATGTGATTTTTGTGTTTGTAAATCAGCACATTATAGATCCAGTATTTCTCTGTTTCTGACCATTTACCCATCATGTTATGTTTGGAACAACTTGTTCGGAGCAGATTTGTACAATAATTCTAGGATTAGAAGTTGAACTGTTGGACTTTTTTTCAGACTAACAGGAAAAGACTGTTCAAAATCATTATCACACAAAACGAATCCCTTTGAGCCTCATTGTTGTTAAGTGAGACTCTAATTTATAATAAGCCTAACTGGTCTGATCAGCTTGTTGAAAGGCCACAGAGGGCTGATGTCATGATGATAAGAAAATGCTGTCATGCTTTGCTCTGTTTGTAAAACTGTGAGAAAGACTGATGGGTTGGTGTGTTTGCTGGATGGAAAAGTTTGATTCCACCTTTGAAAGATGCCCGGTGATCAACATGTAGTGTCTTAAATGTTTGTTTGCCTTACAAGGCTTTTAATATTCTGTAACAGTTTAGCATAGAAACATCTAGATGGCTGTCCGTAATATTTTTGTATCTCAACAAAAATACTTTTTAGAGTATTGCTGTACTGTATCTGTGAGGGAGGGAAGGTTTAAAAAATCTCTTATGTTTATTGTTGCCAAAGAGATGCTGTGTATGTTTTCACCCCATTGTGAGGACAGACAGGAAGCTCACTGGCCTTGAACCAAAGGCGCAAATGTGCGGGAGAAGTTTTGGTTGAGATACTGTCATAATGTGTGCCCCAACAATGACCTGGTCACATCGTTACTTTCTGTACCTTCTATCAATTACAAATAAAATCTGGTTTACACATGTTAAATATATTGGCCATTTTTTACGTGTTTTTAAATAAATGAATTTATTTACACATGTAGACTCTAAAATCTTACAGAGTTGTTAAAGAGTTCAGATGTAAAATTTAAAGAGTCCTTAGATTCATTTTGGACAACCAACAAATACTGAAGAACTCTGATATTAAATATAAGTTTTTAAAACTTCATTTTTAAATCCATGTATAAAACAAAACAGTCTCTCATCTTCGTTGTCTGTGTTAAAAGGCGCAATGGGAACCATTTTTGCACTCAAAGCCTATTAAGCCACCAAATTCCAGTCACATGGTGTGTAAAGTCTTCTATAGTATAAACGTACCGCATATTATATCAACTTAACAGGAATGTAAAAATACAGAAGATTGCTATGTTTTCAGGTTGCTTGTGAACTTCCTGGGGCACAGGAAACATTGTATTTTACCCAAACAAACTTTTCAGATAATCGATGTTATTTTTTCAAAACATTTTAGCATTATAGTTCTCTTACAGGACTTCAATTTGGGCGAGCGGGTACAGTAAGTAAAAATTCAATATAAGCATGGGTTAGAAGAAAGGCAGAGGATCAGGTAGAAGGGTCACGAAGGCAAGCCATTATATGAAGAAACTTCTTGGTGAGTGTCAAATCCAACACCCATTTCCATTTGTCCTTAAACCCACAGGAAGACGATCTGAAACTAAACTCTGTGTTTTTCCATAAAGAATTTTATATTTCAAACAAGTGGATTCCTTTAGGACACAGGTGTCAAAATCCAGCCCTCGAGGGCCGGTGTCCTGCAGGTTTTAGATGTGTCCTTGATCCAAAACAGCTGATTTAAATGGCTAAATTACATCCTCAACATGTCTTGAAGTTCTCCAGAAACCTGGTAATGAACTAATCATTTGATTCAGGTGTGTTGACCCAGGGTGAGATCTAAAGCCTGCAGGGACACCGGCACTCGAGGCCTGGAGTTCGACACTCCTGCTTTAGGACATCAAATAAAAAGTAGTAAAGTTTTAATCTCTCAACCTCTATCGTTTAAGTTTTAAAGGTTTTACTCTACCAGCACTATTGTTCTTCAAACTGTGTTTTCTTCTAAGTGAATCATAATGGGATCAGATGACTCTGTGTCAGCCCCAAAAGGTTACAGCCCATCTGAGATAATGTGCCAGGAATAAAAATGGGATTTATCAGGTGTAGCATGTCGCCTGCATGCAGGATGACTCAGGATATCCCAGCAGAATATCCAGAGAAACGATGCTGTTGTTGTCAGGTGGAAGGGTGAAGTCAATGCATGGTACATTCTCATCATCTTTACACTCTGTGTCATGCAACTCACTGAGGACAGCATGTTAAAGGGAGCCTGTTATGCTCAGTTGCAGCTTCATGTTTTTATTGCTGAAGAGTACCAGTCGAGCTTTGTGTGTTTACAGCTATCCTTATTTATCTTATTCTGTGCTAAAACTTTGACCACCTTTAAAATTAATGAGGAAAAGTGTAACAGATCAATTTTAAAATTTCTGAGGGTTAAATTTTTGAGCATTATAACAGATTAAAAAAAAAACACTGCACAATATTGTTAAATACTTGATTCTTTATTGTCAGAATTAAACTAAAAAACAAACAATTTGTTTACCATCAACTCACATCATTATAGTGTAGACTGCCAGTACAGTACTCCTTATGTTACATTAACGTAGGTTTTATTGGTTTCCATATTTCTGAGTCACATAGTTTTCAGCTAATTTCTTATATCTCTCCTTGAAACATAACTGTAAAATGAGCTGGGACATGTGGGATCATCTAATAATAAATAATGCAGATATTTCCAAAACATCCCGTGTAATTTTGTATTAACTATAGGGAAACTGAAGACAGCGCTATAAGTGTATGAAGACTTGATCATTTTAACTATCAAATATATTATAAGAACAATAAAGCATACAGTTGAAGTGAAAAAAAGTTTTTCATGAATTGATCTCAATAATCAAGAACAGTTTCCTTAGAAAGACAATTAAAAATGATTATCATAGCAGGTCAGAGCACAAAACAGAGTGAATAACTGAATCACCCAATGCAGGTGAATCATTATGGATATATATGTACCTCTGTACCACACAAGTACTCTGATATAATGAGAAGGTACTAACATGATCTCTGCAGAATCCAGAACTAGATTTTTCCTCATAATTAATATAAAACAATGGAATGTTTTGGAAATATCCTCAGACATATACAGCTGAATACCAGCTGACTTTGGGGAAAATATGTGTGAAAAATTCTAGAAACTTTAAAAATAGCCTTAAAGAAAATCTCTTTTTCCTTTCTAACCATCTAAATCCAGGTGAGGAAGTCGAGTTTTATTGCCATCTAGTGGTGGATACATGTTTTGCATGCACATACAATAAGGTGCATGATAGTTTTGATGTGTAGCACAGCTGATTACATCCATGTGTAATAACAAGCTCCGTCGTTCACTACATTGGAGGTACGGGTGCTTTAATAAGGGAGGAAAGTACTGAGGCTAATTCTGCTCTGCTAATATGAGAAGTATAAAAACAAATAAATCAGACTTGCAATTGTTGCTTAAATCGGGTTTAAAACCAGTTACATTCAAATTTGTTTCTTCTCAAATCTCAAAGTCTTAATTTTTATTATTGTGAATATGAATTCACCTCATAGTCCTGTTAACTAAAATTTACTGATGAAATTCATCAACAACTTAAAAGAAATCTGGTTCTCTGAAGGCTAAGAAAAAAAAGTATTTTTATGTCAGTTCATCACTTATTAATAGGAATTAAAATTCCAGGTCTCTTGTGTTATTGGTTTTCTTTAAAAAATATTTCAGTGAATGACCCTCACCCACTGAAATATTTTTAAAGAGGTAATTTTTTATATTTATGGAGATATTTTAAAATTCCATTAAGATATATTAAAATACTCAGATAAATATGAAACTTTCAAAATGTCCTATTTTGAAAATGAGCCTTTCACAAATTTTGGATATAATTTTAAGAAACACATACTTGAAAGATGCGAGGACAAACATTTTAAAAACAACTTTCACATCCTGGAATAATTTTCTGGATAATAATTTTCAAAAAAGTTGAGACCTGAAATTTTGCATAATTCCTGATGTGGGTCCTTCACCTAGATATATATCCAGCAGTTAAGTAGTTCAAACCTGTTTTCCAGTTTGCTATTCCAACATGAAGGTAAACCAAACCTAACCTGAGCAGGTATAATTTCACATACCCACACTGGACCCTAGAATATCATTATTATCAGTAAGCACCATGACACTTACTGCAATCACATAATTGTTCATGCTAATGAAAAATAATCAATAACTCAATAAGTGGGAAAAGCAGAGGGATGGTGTGATTTTTCTAAATGTAGTTTTCAGTGCTTTATCAAGTTATTATCACACACCACTTAAATCTAAGATTTAAATGCATTTTAAATTCTTAAACAAGTAAACCACAGACACCGAAACGAGCACATCTTAAATGACCTCAGTGCAACCAACACAACCTACGTTAGCGTGACCCTGTTTGCCTGTCAACGATTACCTTAAACTAGATAAACAACATGCAATTACAAAGTTTCTCCTGTTGATTGTGTTACTGAATTAAATCTCAGCTGAACATGTTGCTTTAAGAAGATCTTATAAAGTGCTTGTTCACTACGAACAATAACAATCAAACATGAATCTGAGAACCAGTGAAATTCATTATTAAGTGTAGGTTCAAACGCCTGCACGGCTGCTTATCTCTAGTACTGCAGAAAGATAAAAGATTTCCTGTGAGTACAGAATTAGTTGAAGGTACAGTACTACGAGTAGTGTGCTTATCAGTTGTGATGCTATCAGCACAAACGTATTCTACAGATATCTTTTTCCATATAATCTACCTCTCTGATGTGTTTCAGTACTTTTTTTTCTGCCGTCGTGCTTTAAGATCATCGGTCTCTGAATAAGACGTTTCTTATGGTGCAAACACTGGACTGTTTGACAAGCATGAGGTGCTCTTGCCAGCTGAAAAGGCAGTATTGAGAGGTGAGGCTCAAAGGTGAGACACCCAGCATGGTGTAAAGCTTAGCAATTTTAAAGCCCTTTCATTGACAAGGCAAGAGGGGAGGAGCTGCATTTTAAATGACCGGCTAATGATCCTGTGAGTCTACATGGAGCTAGGCTTTAGTCTTTGGGTAACGATACGATACAAGAGGCAACAATTCTGACTTTAAAATGAACCACATGAGCCACACGAGTAAACATCTGCTCTCATTCTTCTTTTTATACACCACATGCTCCTTGTAGGCTTTAAAACCTTTACAAAAGTGAATCAGCTCCACTGCTGCTCATCTAAAATGCCACTTTACCAAAGTCACCAATCAACAGGAAAACCTCATCTTTAATTTTTGTAACTTTTGAATGTGGCTTCCTTGCTACGTGGTTAAATATAAAGTCAATCCTAGTATTTATTTACATTTTCTCCGGGCGATTACAGAGATTACTGTTGCCGTGACATGTTGTAGTGCACTTTATCTGCTGATTATATTTCATTCTTTTCATTTTGTAGCATTATTGTAATACCGAGGGTAAATCAGAGCCTTCCGGTTTAGGGTGGAGGGTGAAATTGTGCACCAGTGATCCACCTACAGCTGGTTTACATTGAAAGAAAGCTCAGAAGTCCCCTGGAGGACTGGAAGTCTTCTCCAAGGAATCATAGTGAGCTTCATCAAGGTGGTCCTCATCGATTTCATCCTCATCGTCGGAGAGGGGCGGTTTGGCCGGGGCCTCCACAGCCGGCTCGCCTGGTGGATCATCGCTAGGAAGAAAAAGAGCAAAAGGGATTGTGGTTTTTATTTGTTAAAATGTAAAATGGTAACGGAAGATGAGGTCAACAAGAGCACAGGATGGAACAATGGGTTGGGTTTTTTTCAGCCATATTGCTGCTGAAAATAAAAAGGTCTGAGTCATGCAAATAGAGAGAAAGCTGAGGCGAAGAGCAT